GGACTAAAGGGGTGATTATCAAGATCCCAAAGAAGGGCACACTCAGCGATTGTAACAACTGGCGCGGAATTACCCTTCTGTCAATACCCAGCAAGATCCTCGCTAAAATCATCATAGGTAGAATATCAACAGCAGTTAATGAAACGCTGAGGAAGGAGCAGGCAGGTTTTAGAAAAGGTAGGCGTTGTATAGAACAGATCTTTGCTCTGCGTAACATCATAGAACAGAGTGCAGAATGGCAACAACAGGGTTACATTTTCTGTTGCGAGTTTCTAGCATTTGCCACATTTCAGAAGCAGATGATAATGTGGACATTATAATCTTATTTCTTGCATCAACTGTCTCATTTTTTTATTTCATTGCCACAGTCAAAAAGGCTCCGCTTGCCTTCCCAGTTCTTGCTTTTGCACTTCATGAAGTTGCCCAAGGGCACTGATGATGCTTTCAAAATATACAAACTCCTTACCCATGCCACATTCTTCACTACTGATCACATATGCATCAACTCTGCTGACTTCTCTTTCAACAGTCATGAGTTGCTGTAGCATACTGGTGTGAGAGCATGGCAAGCGAATAGAAAACCTGGTTTGCTCTGCCCTTTGCCCCTGATTCACTAGGAACTGTCCCGATTCCCCTAGGGGCAGTCGGCAGTCACCACAGTTTGTGGCAGCCACCAAACTGCTCTAATTCATACTGCAAAAATGGTGCTGAACTGGTCAAGGATAAAGAGATTGCAAAGGTGCTTGCCCAAGTGGGCAAGTTTGGATCCTGCAGGGCTAACAGCAACACTATGATCTTCACCTTTCTCAAAGCTACTACCTCTGGACTACAGTATGAGCTGTAGAACTTATGTTCATTCTACATTAGGTTAAGGAGGGTTATGGATAGAACACCAGGTATCAAAATGAGTCTGAAATTCATGTCTGAGACACGACAACGCAGGTCTCTTTCCAGTCCTTTTTCTTGTTCTATTTATTTTTCATCATAGAAGCCAGAATGTCTGCTACATCAAGGAAAAAATAAACAATATTTCTATATTTCATTGACACTGTATTTCTCATTTCTTCTTCCTCTGCAGCCTTGATATTTTGTTACCATTGACTGATCTCTCTCTTTTGGCAAGTTTCCTGCATTCATCCTTCGGGGTGAAAAAAAAAACACTTTTTCCACTGAAAAAGATTGTTTTACACTCTCTGAGCAGAGATGTTCAATGTGCCACAAGGCCTCAGTGTATCCTGCAAAAGCTTTTGTCTGCCTTCCCATTTCTTGCTTTTTCACCTCATGAAGTTGCCCTGGGGCACTGATGATGCTTTCAAAATAGTAGTATCAGACAACATAAAAGTTTCTGCAAAATAATGGGACAGCGCTGAAAATAAAAAGCAACTTATATTTTTCTGTGCTTCTGCAGATAGTATGTTCTGTTAAGGACACTCAACACTCATACTTCACTCACATCTCAGTCCTATGTACGTTTGAATCTTATCCCCACTAGCTTCTCTGTACCATTGCTTCCAGCAATTAAGGAATGACTTACGATAACCCAGAAGAAGTCAGAAGTCATGACTCTGAACACTATAACACAAAACCCCATCAAGATCAATAACAATGATCTTCCCTTTACTGATAGATTTGTATATTTGGGTAGTATCATCACCCCAGATGGTGGAAGTAAGCAAGACATTCAGAATAGACTGAGTAAAGCACGAAATGCCTTTATCAGTATGAATAACATCTGGAAATCCTCAAAGTACAGCGTGCGCACTAAGCTGAAACTATACAACAGCTGTGTTCTTCCAGTGCTTCTCTATGGAGCAGAATGTTGGCGCATGATACAACGAGACCTTACTAAATTGTCTGCATTCCATACCAAGAATCTTAGAAGAATAATCAGGATATTTTGGCCAAATAAAATTTCCAACGAAGACCTACTGTCTCAGTGTAAACAAGAAGACATGGCCACTATAATTATGAAAAGACGCTGGCGATGGATAGGTCATGTGTTACGAAGAGAAGATGGATCTATTACGAAAATTGCACTCCACTGGAAACCAGATGGGAAGAGAAAGAGAGGAAGACCAAAAACAACCTGGCGCCGAACGGTAGAACAAGAATTAAAAGACCATCATCACACTTGGGGAACAATAGGCGCTTTGGCCTGCGACCGACAGAAGTGGAAGGACTTTGTTGCTGCCCTATGCGCCATTGGCGTAACGGGCAGTAAGTAAGTAAGTACCCCTATATTAAGCTCAACTATTTTAGTGAACATCACAGCTAAAGCATGTCAGTCCTCAGGAGACCGAACTGTGCTACAGGCATGCCATGGCTGGGTTCCATTATGGCATTACAGGGAGCTGAAATGACATGACCAGGCAAAATGATGCCATTAAATTGTACTGAGAGGACAACAAGTGTTCATGCATCTCAGTATGTCCAGGCCAAAGTTTAACTGAACCTTTCCCATCCCTCGCCATTATATCCCCAGCCCAGTAACTAAACTTCATGCTAAGGACTCTGCAAGACCCATGTTCAAGTTTAGTCTCTGCTATTTATTTGCATGTGACCGTGAGCAAGTCACTTAGTCTCTACCTCAGTTCCCTGTCTGTAAAATGGGGCTGGGGGAACTATTTCACTCCATCTTGATTCTCTATGACACCGCCCAGGGTTGGAGACTTCCTGACACTGGCCGCTTTCCGCATGCGCTGTGGGGAAGGGAGGGTAGCACCTCATTGGCATTAGGCGTGTCTCTTTCTGGCTCGGCGCATGAGCGGTAAAGGAAGGGTCGGGACCTATTTAGCGCCCAGAGCGTCCATTTGTAGCTCCGGTCATGCACGGTTCGAATCCCTTTACGGCTTTAAAAAAAAAAAGGTGTGCGCACGCGCAATTTTGGTCTCCGGGATCTATTTTACACCAGCCTGGGTCACTTTGTGGCGCTTCCCCGCGGAGCCAATCAGAA